ATATCAATGAATTATAAAACAAAATTTGAATAAACCTGATTTTTCTGGGCATAATACAATTTCTTTATTCATTATTTTATATCTTGGATTACTTTTCGTTTTAATTTAAAATTACTTTTTTTATAAGTTTTGGATCAAGAATGTGTATAGTCAATAGAAATGCAAAGCCTGAAACTCCAGCAATTATATGTTACCCCACCCCATATCCTACACATTTTTTCAAAATTTTTTAAAATCATTGCTAATTTTTCTAAAAAATGCCTAGAAAATCGACCAATAGATTATTGTCAGCCAAGTGCTGACTTGTAAAGAAATCTTAAATGAAGAATAAACATTGAGAAACTTGGCTAAAACAAGTGGCAAAACTGACAAATTGTGTTTTCTGGAATGGTTAGCAAAACATTGGCTAATTGCTAATTGATTCAAACTTTATAAATGGTAAATAATAACGATTTCATAGTAATTTTGTAAATATCTGCCTATATTTCCGAGATAAGGTATTCTGACTATTTACACTATTTACATTATTTGGATGGTTGTCCTCATCGTGAATATGACAATAAAGATGAGGACAAGTCTGAATAATGTCAATTTTGTACATGTTTATAAATTTATGAATAAAAAATTGTTTTAATATTTCTTTATAAATTGGTAAATGATAGACATTATATTAATTGGTTTAGCTCTTAACTTGCCTCGATAAGTAAGACTATTCAGGCAGACAAGGTCAAATTGGCAGCTGATGTCCAAAATGACCTCAAGTTCATTGTTAACTGGGGCAAAAGATGGTTTGTTAAGTTTAACACCTCCCAAACTAAACATTAATCATCTGAGAGATCCCCCTCTACCTTCCATCAGCACAGCTGATGCTATCCTCCAAGAAAGTGACACATTGCACCTTCTTGGGCTAAAATTCTCAGTTAACATGAAGTGGAAAGACTAAATTGAATGCATTGCTAGGTCAGCTGCTAAGAAAGTTGGTCCACTGTGTCATGCTAAATAATTTTTCTCTTCGGAATCTATCTTACATATCTATAAGTTATCCATCCATGCTTAGAATATTGCTGCCACATATGGTCTGGTGTCCCTGCTATTTACCTGGAGCTCCTTGATAAAATCCAAAGAATCTGCAATATTATTGGTCCTGATCTGCTTCAGTTTCTCTCCCACCGCTGTAAGGTTACCTCTCTGTGTCTTTTCTGTAAATACTTTCATGGTAATTGTTCAGATGAGCTCTTTGATAGGATACCTAAACTTTTTGAATTTAAACACTAGACTGGCATTGGGATCTCATCAATTTACAATAGAGTTGATTAAGATGTAACTGTAAATTCTATGCTAGCAGTTTTTTTTTTCTTGTACTTCTCACTTGGGAAACTCCCTTCCAGTTCCATGCTTTCCAGCCAACTTTAATCTGCAAAAATTTAATTGCAATGTCAATCACTATCTCCTGTCATCCTGATCTCTCTCTCTTCTTCCCAATCATTATTAAATAAAATAAATGACCACCATAATTGTCACTATCTGATGTCAATGGCAATACAAACTAGCTAGAGTGTGATCGAGAACAAAGCATAATGTGGCCACAAGGTTGCCCACCAGAAATACATGCATGGCATAGCTAACTTTAATCTGCAAAATTTTAAATGCAATGTCAGTTACTATCTACTGTCCTGGTTATTCTTTCCCACTCATTATTAATGTTTCTGTTCTGAATTTTTCCACACCCTGTAACCCCTTGAGTCTTAGTGGCTTTATTGCCTTGCATGGGGTAATACTGATTAAAAATTAAAAAAAAACTATATATAAGATTATTCTTGTAAATAAGCAATCTAATAAATAAATAGTTTTTAATATTTTTGTTGTAAATTCTCAAGAACAAAAACAAATGTATGAATTCACTTTCATCATGTTTAGGTTTTATTACGATTCTAATCATCACTTTTTTAAAACAATAAACTTTATAAATTTTAACTACCTTCCATCCTTGGCAACATTGCCAAGGATGGAAGGTAGTTAAAATAATAGTGGTGTCAAGGGAAAAATTGTCTTTTTAACACTACATTTTTTTGCAGGCACAAAGGTCCAAGTTTGACAAAATTTATATTAGCGTTGTTATCAGTTTTGAATCTCTTCTTTGATTTTTTTATTGGTTTTGTGATGTCACTTGTTTGACACTTTCATGATGCCAACGAATACTCGTTGTCACTTTCATAATGCTCATTGTAGTAGAGACTTTGTAATTGCAGATACAACTATAGTGTGCCATTGAACTATACTAGTGTCAGATGCTTTCAAATAGTACTTGCACTAATAGTACTTGCTCGATAATTCTTGCTCAAATAGTAATCCATATACAGAAATAATACTATTTCTGTATAGTGAATAGAGTAGAGAATAGCAGTTTGTGTCGTAATAGAGGATATAATAGGAATAACAATCATTTAGATGTCAACTACTTCCTACATATTTGTGGTTCCTCTATGATCATGTGGTCGATAATGGGAATGCCTGTTTTCACTGGCGATCTATGTTCAAACTCAAGTGTTAGCAGTGACACTTTATTCCTATGTAATAATTGGGATCAATTCAAACTTTATAAAATGGTAAATGATAACAATTTCTTTATATTTGGTTCATATATTTTAATTTTTTTTACATATTTAATGTCTTGGTTTTATTAAAATTCTAATCATTGCTTTTTAAAACAATAAACATTGCTGAGGGAATGTAGGGAGCTTATATTATTAGTGGTGTCAAGGGAAAAACTGTCTGTTCGACACACTGTTTTTTTGCAGGCACAAAGATTAAACTTTACCAAATTTATTAGACGTTGAAATTTTCAGGTCAAAATTCAGCAAATAAGTAATGTTTCATCATCACTTAGAAGAGTCTGTATTTTTGCCAATAATCCAATCTCTTGAGAATTGTTACGAGGATGCATTTATATAATAAGAAAGTCTCAATAAAGTTAAAATTTACAGTAAGGGATTCTATTGAGTCCTACCTGTTAATACAAAAAAGTTTTCTTTCATGAAGTAGATATAAAATAGAGAAATTTGAAATAGAACATTTGGAAGATTCTAGATCATTCCAGTATATTCAAGAAGAATCTAGATGATTTGAGAAACATCTAGAAATATGGAAATTAGGTGTTAGCCCCTATAAAAATGGAATTTTGGAAAAGGGTTGTCAGTTGTTGAAGGGGAATTTCTGCTTTTATCAACTCCGGCTTTTGATTCAAGGACTATTATATCCAGCCGAAAGAATCTCTATAAAAAGTTGCCAACCAACAAAAACCCAAAAGAGAATTTCATGGAACAAATTTGGTAAATAGAATTTTGACTAATTTTCATTGACCAAACTAAAAATTAATATTTATTTACACACCTTTGTGGATTTCCAAATATAGCACTTAGATTACTTCACTAGCCCTAAAGTGATAAAGATATTTGACTCCCTTTCCTTCTCCCTCGTAACACTTCGCTAGTATCTCTGTGTTTTCTGTTTTGTAGGCCACAATTGTTTATCTTGTATATATATTTTTATGTTGTGTTTTAATAAATTAAATATTCGTTTGTGATTTAGTTCTGTGTTGTGATAAATCATTTTTTTTTCCTTTGTTACAATTATCAACATGTAACAGAATATCTATGCAAAGGATACAACAGTATATGGATAGACCCCCAAAAATCTAAATGATCAGAGTCTAGCATCTTATCTCCCCCTTGACTGAGTTTTAACAACTCAATGGGGGAAAAATTAGCTGGTCGCATTTAATATCTCAAAAACCAAACATGTAACATCACCAAGCAGCCCCTGAATTTCCATCTATAGCAATGACTAGCAGCATGGCCCGGCGTTGCCCGTGCTTGATTAAAAAATCATACGACTCATACAGCAACCGCTATCACTTGACTTAAAATATTTTTGCTCTTCCTTGCCTTTAAAGGAGTGCCCTTTGCCATGCTGATGTTGCTACATGCCTTACTTCTAGCCTATCTCACACTGCGAATTTTTTCTGAGCTGTATACTAAATATTAAATCTGTTACGAAAAAAGAACTAAACAAAATGAACTCTTGATATGTGGAGGTTTATTTTTCACAAGGGTCGGACAGATGTTTTCATTTCTTTACGTTTTGTGTATTGTTCTCTGAAAAAAACCGCTGAGTCACCAGAAGTTAACGGCATTTGGACATTTGGTAGTAACTTCCGGATGGGTGCGATACCCTTAACCATGCTTTCAAATTGATTTCGTGCAAAACAATTGTGGTTTTCCAATTTTTGGTGCGGTCAGAACCACCGCCGGGCAATTTTACGTAGTCCTGTGAAGTTTTGTTGAAATCAGTTGAAAAATGTAGGAAATATGATCCCATATATAAATGTACAGACACACACACACACACACACAATCTGCGTTTTATAATAAGTAAGATCAAGGTGGCTGCTTTCTTTAAATGCCTGTTGGGATTAGGTCACCCCAGACCTCAAGTGGAACTCGTATATATGATCCATCATTAAAAATGCTGGAAAAATGGCCAGTTCCTTGTACTTCTCTAGTGAGTACTAGACTCCTCCTACCATGCTCTATATTTATATGAGTCAGATCAGACCAGAAAATTGAGTACTGCTGCCGGGCTGGAGTTGATCAGCTATCACTGAGCCCAAGAGCGTCTATGCAACCTTGTTGGTGATGAATTAGTTTCCATCCTACAACCTGTTTCCACACAGTCGAAAAGTCACAGGCCTCTTGCTACTCAATCACTATTTCCATTGAAAATATTCTGACAAGCTAAATTGCTTAGTTCTGCCAACTCTAACCCTTTCAGCCAAGACCGTATATGCTTGGTAAAACCATCCTCATTACCTTTGTATTCCATAAGTAAGGAGGAAATTCTACTTGGTTTCTTCTGTTGAACCACTACTTTGTGCAACAAAAGATGCTTTCCTGGCTACCACAATCTTAATATCTTTCCCACATATCTGCACAAGACTTATGGCAACATCATGTTGAAACACCAGTTCCCATATGATCACCAAAGTTAAGCAACGTCGAGCCTGGTCAATAGCTGGAAGGGTGACAGCTTGGGAAAACCAGATGCTGTAAACTTGGATGTATAGGTGGTGTAATGTATAATGCCTCGGAATTGTTAATTGGAGTGCCAAGTTTCAATTACAGTTGGGCTCACTACATACACTTACATGCAAACAGACTTGGGAAAGGCATGAATCCACCTCTTCTCCCTCCACCTATGGGTTAATTAGTAACTTGTATCACTAAATCATTATCTCCAAAAAAAAAAAAAAAAAAAAAAAAAGAAGATAAGTTTCTTACAATTTAAAAATATTTTCTGGCTTTAAATAACCTACAAAAGGTTGATAAGCCATACAAAAAGAAACAATGAAATACTGATTAGCTATACAGGCAGGTCTTTTAGATTTTACATCGGATATAAATGTATAGGAAAAAGTGGTCAGAAAGTGAGAGATCAATTTATATATTGAGTGTAATATAGAATTGATCCCCCACTTTATATCCACATTATAATTTCTTGTTTGTTTATCAAATTCTGATTAGGTACGAATTCACCTCTTCTCTCCCAGCTATGGGTTAATTAGTAAGACTTGTATCTTTAAAATCATCATTATCTCAAAAAAAAAAAAAAAATTTACAATCTAAATACAGGTTGCGATGTGTAAATTGTTGCCATTTTATATTTTTCATTTTGCACATGTGCATTGTTTGTTTTTAATTTTGTCAAATTTACACTATAGTATGGTCAGTTGGGCACTGTCTGTGATAAAAAAAAAAAGCACTTTGATGCAATTCACTCAGCCAGAAATTTGGAAATGGCATGCTCCACTGTTAGCATTCGCACTAGAATCTCCAATACGAACATTTCAGTGTGTTTGGGTGTCAATCTGAGGACAGTGCAGAGGATTCAGAAAGAGTTTGATGATATATCCAGTCAGCATCATGGCGCTTGGAGTGATCACTAATAATGGCGACATCATACCTCCATTCATTTTCCCACAGGTTCTTAGACTCAACATGGACATCTACATTAAGTACATTGATGAGGGAGTGCTATCCTGTGTCAATAGGGTGGCTGCTGGTAGACACTATGCCTGACAACAGGACTCTGAACTATACCACACAAGCAGGAGAACCGAGTCATGGCTGTCAGACAATTTCTGCAACTGCATCACTCCTTACATCTGGCGACGTAACTCCACAGACTGCAACCCCTTTGATTATTATGTGTAGGGTGCAGCTGAGAGAGAGACCAACAAAACTCCTTGTAATACCAAAGATGAACTGAAGGCAAGAATTATGGCAGCATTCATCAACTTAAACAAGGAGACTGTCCAGAAGAGTTGCAGGAGATTCTGAAGTCTGGAGGCATTGATTGAAGTTAATTGTGATTTTAATGATTAAATTTACTCTTTAGTATTTCAAGATATTTTTGTGTAGTTTTGGTAAATCTATCTGTTAAAATGAGATGTCAGTGTTATTTTCATTTTTGTATAATTTAGATAACAATTTATTCATCGCACCCTGTATATATTTTCTGGTTTCAAATAACCTGCAAAAGGTTGATAAGCTGTAGAAAATCAAACAAATAAAAAAAAAAAAACAGTTAATGATACTTCAAAAATCAAAATGTATTTCAGGCGAAGGAGAAAACGTTACACAAAGACCAACTACCTCCACTGAATGGTGCGGCGCCATCGAAGAGTGAACATACATTGTCAAGGAATATAACAGGAATACCAGAAAGACTGATTGAAAATAAATCTTCTCTTAGTTCGAGAAATATTGTAATCAAGACAGATGAAAGCTGAGGCTTCTTAAAAAAAAAAAAAACACAAGAGAGAATTATCAGAAACTGTCACAAGGAAAGGCAGTAAAATGTAATGGCTTTGCTATATAAGAAATAAAGTTTCGAAAAGCCTTTTTTTATGAGTTTCACTATCCTTTTCTAACAGATGAAATATTGTAAGCCTCTTGCTATTTCCATGGAAAAGTGCTCAGACAAACTACATTCCAAAGTTTCATCAGTTCTAACCTTCTAAGATCCACTATCCTACATATATTACCTTGAACCACCCTTTCTTTTTGTATTCCATTGGTGAGCTGTTTTTTTAATCAATTTGACCCAAAGTTATATCAGGAGAAAAATGGATACAGAACATGATTTAAAGAAAAAATACTACCTCAATAGTGAAGTGTGATAAGTAGGTGTCCTTACAGCCTGGGGATACTGTAGGGGATGCTTACTTGTGGACAAATAGCACTTTTCTTAATTTGACTTTTAAATCGCTCTGTGCTTTAAGCATTCTGTTATAGTACAACACTCTCCCTGGTTGTTCAAGACTTCTAACACCATGGCTAGTTGCTGAAGTGACTGCTTCAATTCAGAGCTAACCTTATCCCACGTTGAGATTTAAGTTTGATCATAAGGCAGCCAAAATCAAATCGTCGCAAGTATCTTTAATTTGGGCTGTTCCAAGCAGGGTGAAGACGCACAGAGAAAAAAATAACACCCGAATAAATTGAACAAAAGTAAATACTGTTTTTATATCAGCTCTTCGTACAATAACTGGTTATATCAGAGTAAGCATGCAATTAATTATCAGCCCAACCCACGTCTAAATCGGAAGGGATATTATTGTTGATTTGGTAAAGTCCGGCACAAGGCTGAAACCGGGAGTTCTTTTCAGCAGGCAATCACATAGAGGGTATCACAACTGGTGGTTGGGACAAACTCTCTGCCGTCTCTCTCCTGTCTCCATCTTGTCTGGCAAATTCACTTCACACATTCATATTTATTGATGTTTGCTGAAACTGGTGCAAAGCACAGTGCATAGGAGGATTTTGGTAAATCGCTATTGTTGTCAGCTTACTTCATAATTCTGGAGAATTCCCTTCTTCCACTCTCTCATATTATTACCTCTCACTAAACCTCCTCAGTGAGTGTGGGTGGCTTATCCACCCCCTCCTGCTATTTCAACTCAACTTTTGACCAGGAGAAATCAACTTCAAATTTGTTGTTTACAAAAAGGAAGTTTTTGCTTTGCAGCTTGCATTTTCAGCTGCATAGACCACATGTCGATCATGATTGCCCTTTAAATCTGGGTCATTTTCCATTGTTCAAACCCTTGACACACCAATTCCAGGTGTTGTCTATATGTGAATTAAATCATCAATTTTTCCCACGGATTTTATGTATTAACCCTTTTTGTTCCAAAACCTTTCAGTATATCGCTTATCTATCCATAAGAAAACATTCCTGTGTTTTACCACTGTAACAACAAATAGTATCACATTCAGCATATATTTTTTGTTCTTCTACAACACCATAAATTATTTTATGCATATCAAATGTCTTAATCCATAATTTTACATTATTGGTGTTTGCTAAACCTAAGCTGAATTTGAATTCCAGTCGAGTTCATTACATTCACTTATGTGCTAATCCCCTTGGAAAAGGTATGAATCCATCTCTTCTCTCCCCAGCTATGGGTAAATAGAATAGCTGGGTCCTGTAGCCTTGGGAGGCAACCAGTCTAGGGGAATGAAAAACTCCAAATTCAAAACCTCCAGCTATGGAGGTTGTGAATCTGGGTTCTGTAGCCATAGTTGGCAACTAGAGTAGGGGAAAGACAACTCTGAAGTCAAATCCAGAGCTGAAGTCCCTAAGACAGTCTGATGTCATTTTCAATTTTATTCCAGCAACTCCTACTGGTGTCTAGCAGCATTGGCCATTGACTTTTCCTTGGACAACATCGGTGACATAGATAGGTTAGATGTGCTGCATGGGCAACTGTCAATCTCTCCTAAAAAAGAACCCTGCCCAGACCTTGGAGAGGGCATAATTATTCAGAGGCAGATCTATGGTCTCTTGAGACTGACAGATGCCATACAAAATGCCCCAAACAATACCACAATACCATTAAGTGCTACAGGGAGTGAAAGAGAATGAAAAGACTTTAGAAGGAACTAGAAACCCAATCCTAATGAGGGATAAACCTCTGCTCCCATTCAAAACAGGAAAGTAGTTTGAATCAGGTGATAGGTGAACCTATCTACGTATATGAAGACATTGCAGAATTGACTCCCAGGAGGATGCTTCCCTGATCACTACAATTTTAAGCTGTTCAAGTCTAGGGTTTATTCTGTAACCCTCTATCTCGAGTGGCACTCGGGCCTTGTACAGCGTGAACATCATTGTAAAACAAAAATATAAAAAATTCTTTGTGACACAATGGGTCCCTGCTAAATTGGTTAAGTTAACCACATTGTCAAATGGACTGTAAATGATTTAATCTGAACCAGGAGTAATTGAAGTTTTATGACTACCAACAGCAAAACTGAGATGTGAGATTTAAAGCAACTACCTGCTGTACAGAAATACAAAAAAGGAAATTAAATAAATAAAAAGTTTTTGAGATCAAGTGACACTTGGCTGGAAGGTGAGGGAAATTCTATTCATGGGTTCATATAGACCAGTGGTTCTCAATTTATATAACATGACTGGGGTTCACACAAAAAAATAGGAAATTGGGGGTCCACGGTAACATTTTAGTGGTCCATAGAACAATTTCACTTTGGATTGGTTGTTACAATTGAGAATTGGGATTTCTACAGTAATATACACCATATTAAAATACTAACAATAGAAAAACAACTCTAAAACTAGCAGAAAATGAGATCAAGTGATGTAAGTTAGTGTTCCTTTTACTTTACCAGATATTTTGATTGTAAAAGTTGAATAAAAACTGAGAAAGATATATAAAGGAAGGAAAAATAAAATGGAAAAATGAAAAATAAAATAAAAGGTAAAATGGAAAATACTAAAAAAGCTAGAACCTGTAAATCTTTAAATGAACCGTGCTTCTTATGTTTACATGAGAAACTAGAAATTATCTGATTTGCTGACGAAAAATCTCTATTTAACCAAAGAAGTGAATTAACTGTAAATTGCTGACACAGTTTATCTTTTATCTTAAAATATAGTTAAATTTTAAAAATGAGGTAGTACCATTTCTTATGGCCATAATTTATAAGTAAATAATGGTCCACTCTCTACGAGTAATTATCTT